TTCTGCTTAGCAGTTGCTCAGCAGACCCCACCGTCTTGTTCATCCTTCAGGTTCAGCACAACTGTCAACCCATCTCAGAAGCTTCCTGTAGCCCCAGGAGTGACAGCAGGAGGGGAAATTAACCTAAGGGCCAGTCAGCCAGTTCACTGACCTGGCTACAGCAGCAGTTCTGGTTCCAGCTTTGATGTTACCTGGCTTCAAATCATTTCACCTCCATGAAGTCCAATCAGGGGTTTGGGCCAAGTAACAATAGCTGCCACTGGGCACCCCATGTGCCAGGCCCCGTGCCATCCCCTTTGCCAGCGCATGGTCTCGCTGACTCCTCACAGTCATTCTGAGATGGGGGTGCCATTATCTCCGTTTACATGTTCAGAGAAGGTAGGTAGCTAGGCCAAGCTTTCCAGCAGCAGAGCCGAAACCTGGTTCCAAAGCCTCAAAATGTTAAGCTGCAAAACTGGGTGTATTATGACCATGTTAAAAATCCAGGCTGGGTGCTGTGGCTCATGCTTGTTATCCTAGCACTTTGGGAGGCCGAGGCAGGTGGATCATTTGAGGTCAGGAGTTCAAAACCAGCCTGGCCAACATGGTGGAACCCCATCTCTACTAAAAATAGGAATAATTAGCTGGGCGTTGTGGTGCACACATATAATCCCAGCAACTCAAGAGGCTGAGGCACAAGAATTGCTTGAACCTGGGAGGCAGAGGTTGTGTAAGCCAAGACTGTGCCACTGCACTCCCGCCTGGGAAAGAGAGTGAGACTCTGTCTCAAAAAAAAAAAAAAATCCATAAAGCCATAATTCTGTGTCTATTCAACTTAGATGAGTGCCAGGATCTTTTTTGTCTCTATAAAGAATAAGAATTGACAAACTTCATAGAGCTTCATGGATTCAGAAGATTCCAGAAGTAAACCTGTGCAAGACTTTTCACACTGACTATCCATAAACTACTACAGCCCCAGAAGTCGTCTTGCCAAAAAAAAAAAATCAAACCTGCATCTCATCTAATTACCAATCTGCAGGAAATACAGAGGAAGGAGGAGCATGTTAAAGTATACCACTGGGATGCCATCAGCAAAATCCAGACTGGGGAAAACTCTGTAGGAGATAACCCAGTCTCTTCAACAGATAAAATGGGGGCATGGGGTTGAGACGGGGATCTCTTTAGTTTGGGAAAGACTTATGGGGCATATCAACCAGTCACATTGCGTGGACCATATTTGGATCCTGATATGAGCAGACTTCTAATAAAGTAGCATTGATGAGACTGTTGGAAATTTAAGCACTGAACTGAATGCTTGATGATATTAGAGATTTATTATTGTATTAGATGTGGGATGGTGTCGTAGTTCCGCTTTTGTGCTTTCAGAGACTTCGAGAAATACATACCGAAATATTTGCAGATGAAGTGATAACATGGCTGTTGTTTGTTTCAGAAGAGTAACAGGGAGGGAAAAGGAGGTGGAGGTAACACGAGTTTGGCCAAGAGTTGGTCATCGCTGAAGTTGGGATGGGTTCGTGGGGTTCTTTGTACTATTTCATTTGCTTGTGTATATGTTTTTAAATCTTCCCTGATGAAAAGTTTTAAAAAATCAGTGAAGTTGGTGCTTTGGGCAGGGAAGGGTTTTGTTGTATTTTACTTTGTTTTGTTTTGATTTAGTAGTGCTGGCTGCTGACAAGAACAGAATGAAATCGGTGTTTTCGTACCTTTCTGGTTGGCATAACCCTTGTGGTTAGCAGTTTAGCAGATTATATCAAAAACCTTAACATATTTGTACTGTTTGCTACAGCAGTTATGCTCTGCAAATCTAAGGAAATAATCCCAAATATGGTGAAAACTTTCTGAAGTGCACATTGCGGCCATATTTGTATAAGAGGAAACTTGGAAGCAACCTGAATGTCCACCAACAGGAGAATGGTTAAAGAAATATCTTCTATGTAAATGGGGATAATGGCACCCCCATCTCAGAATGACTGTGAGGAGTCAGCGAGACCATGCGCTGGCAAAGGGGATGGCACGGGGCCTGGCACATGGGGTGCCCAGTGGCAGCTGTTGTTACTTGGCCCAAACCCCTGATTGGACTTCATGGAGGTGAAATGGTTTGAAGCCAGTTAACATCAAAGTCGGAACCAGAACTGCTGCTGTAGCCAGGTCAAAGAAGTTCTAGGATTTCCTCTCAACAGAATGTCCTGCAGAAATGCACACTGTTTTTGAAGACTATGTAGCAGTATGGAACAATACTTATCAGTTTAAGGAAAATTTTGATTTGAAAATATGCATATATAGTTTCATTACAACAGTGTTGGAAATTCAAAACCATAAGCTTTTGATGATAAAAATATTAAAAGGAAGTACCCCAAAATGTTAATGGTGATTCTCTTTCCAAAGCGAGACCAGAAACAACTATCTTCTTCTTTTGTTATCTAATTTTAGATTTTTCCATAATAAACATTTATATTTTTAACTTTTCAAAGTATTAGTTAACTTTAAAATACCAAAATTTTGATACAAAAAAATTTGAATATAAAATTCTGGTGTTATTAGTGTGTATTTCTAAAATCCATCATAAGAAACTTAAATTATAAAGACAATTTATCATTTAATTAATGTCAGCTGGGTTTTGGTGCTTCAGGAAACAATTGCTTAGTCACCTAGGCTTATTAGCAAAGAAAGTTAAAATGTACAGTTGCAACAGTGGCTCTTCCAGAGGAGGCGTGTTGGACCTACGTTCACTTTAGCCGAGTGAAAAGGTATTGATTTTAGTGCCTGTAATTACAAAACTATAACTTGGTCGGGTGTGGTAGCTCACGCCTGTAATCCCAACACTTTGGGACGCCAACGTAGGCGAATCACTTGAGGTTGAGACCAGCCTGGCCAACATGGTGAAACCCCATCTCTACTAAAAATACAAAAAGATTAGCCAGATGTGGTTACGCACGCCTATAGTCCCAGCTACTCAGAAGACTGAGGCAGGAGAATCACTGGAACCCTTGCACCCGAGAGATGGACATTGCAGTGAGCCAAGATCACACCACTGCACTCCAGCCTGGGCAAAAGGGCAAGATTCCATCTCAGAAAAACAAACAAACAAACAAAAAAACCTATAACTCAGTTGCTCCCCCACCCCTTCCTTCCAATAGACTACGTGTTGACCGAAGACAAGAGTTACTGACTCTCCCTCCATAGTTTATTGGCATCTTTAGATGGCGATTTTCAGTTACACCAAAAAATGACCCATTGATTGGAAATAGGACAACAAAAAATAAAGAGACCCACTGAACATTATATGGTGTGACGCTATTTAAAAGTGCTGTACAGAAATAGAATGTCTTTATTAGCGTTCCCTTCAATGTAAATAAATGTTTTTTCTTACCATGTTTATATTCAGTGCTATTTAAAGTATACAGAAATAGAGATTCAACCAAACACTTGAAATTATTGAAGGAATGAAATGTGGGAGGTGTCCCCTGATACCCAGGACTAATCAAGGACAGGGGAAGGCTGCTGTTGGGGACAATCAGATAGAAAACTGCAAGGGACAGGGAAATGAGGAAGGGGTGATAGGGGGTGGCATCCCCAGAAACTGATGGCAGGTTGGAGTTGAAGGATCAGGATTGCCATCTGAGGCTCAGGCTCTTACCTTATGCAGCTCAGCAGCGCTTTCTTTTGGCAAATTCTATGACATCAAAGCCTCACTGGAACAACTAGGACCACGGGCGGGGGGGTCTTGGGCAGGGGTCTGCGTCCAGGATCTCATATACGAAATGAAAAGCCTTAGCAAAGTATTAGAAGAGTTACGTGAGCCCCTTGTCTTCATCCGTATATTGTCTATTGCTGCTATAACTGAATACCTGAAGCTGGGTAATTTATAAGAAAAGAGATGAAGCTCACAGTGCTGCCGGCGGGGAAGTAGAAGCAGCATGACGCCCATATCTGCTTCACCGTCTGGTGAGGGCTTTTGTGTTGCGCTGCGTCACACACATCACAACATGGTGGACGGTCTAAGCGGAGGCAGACCTGTGTGAAGGACAAAACCCAAGGGGCGTCCTGGCTTTGTAACAACCCACTCTCAAGGGAGCTAACCCAGCCTCGCCAGAGCAGGGGCGCAGTACCTTGAGAAGGGACCCAGCCATTTGTGAGGGATCCGCCTTCTTGACCCAGACACCCCCCACTAGGCCCCACCTCCCAGCACCACACGGGGGATAAAATTTCAACGTGAGTCTTGGTGGGGAGAAACAACCACAGCCACACCATAGTGTCCCTAAAGAAAGGAAGGTGCTGTTTCTATTCTTGGTGCTGAGCCTCTTCCAGCAAGCACAGCAGGTTCCCTTTTCCCTGGCATACATGAAACTGCACTTTTTTTAGGATTTTTTTTTAATGTATATGTGCTTGGGTTCTGAGAGTAAAAGCACTTAAATGTATTTCCAGGATCATGTTTCTTTTTTGGAGATAAAATTCAGCTACTTTCCTTTTACCTCCTGACTTTATTTGGTATTGCTCTTCCACTTTTACCAGTTATTATAAACAGTTCAGCCAAGAGGCATTTGGTACCTGCCTTTACTCTGTATATTGTGCTCTCTACGTATTGCACTGGTATACGTAGGACCATGACATAGTACGGAAACAATGCGCTCCCTAAATCCTAGAATTGCCAGAATTGTAGGATCCTCACCCTTGAAAAAGAAAATCTTAAAATGGGAAGGGGAAGGATTTTACTTTTTCCAGCAGATAGTAAACATATGAAACTTATCCTGAGAGTCTGTAAGCCAAAAATATAAATAAATTTGGGGAAGTTAGATGAGTTGAGGCCCAAAACATTTTTAAGTGATGACAGGAAGAACCTGCTGTTGTTGAGAGTTCATTTTTCAATGCTGTAGGCTCCACAGGGCCAGCACCGTGTACCCAGCCTCACTGGATTGGTTAGGTGATCATTTCTTCTCACACTACTGCCCACCTTTGTGTGATTTGCATGTTCAGGCGTCTGCATGCTTGTGTCGTGGCAGGTGACCTTGGGAAAGGTGTTGAAAGTGATCGTCGTCATGCGGAGCCTGTTCATTGATCGAACAATAGTAAAGGGCTATCACGAGAATGTCTACACAGAAGACGGCAAGGTAAGCATTCTGGAGTCTTGTGCGTTCCTTTATTTTCTGTATCCCAGAGCAAATGTAGTGGAGTCCCAGATGAATGGCATTAAAAGCTGGCAATCATCGCTGAAATGATCAACAAACAGATTTGTCACTGTGAGGATGAACACTTTATGAAAAAGCATTTCATTCTCTCTGCTTGCATTTTTCATCAAGCTTCTGCTTTTTCCTCTAAGCCTGATGCCTTTAGTTGAATTTCTAATTTATCACCTTAGACCCCAGTTGCCTCATTAAATGTGTCTTCTGAGGAAATGGATTTTTTTTTCCCCGAGTCAAGCAGCTCATCAATAGCCCAGGGTTCAGGATTTTGCTTTTCCTAGAACCACGAGGAAAATTCCTGTTCATTTGACACAACCTGATGACGCTCTTTTTCCCCAAAACTAACAAGTAGCCCTTAGGAAGTTGCTGTGCACAGCAGCATATTTTGGATACTGCTGTTGAAAGAAGACGTGTTACTTCCACAGGTGACTTGCTTCATGGAAAGTTCACCTGTGTGAACCCCTAATTCCTTTCAATTGCACAGTCTCCATAGTGCTCCACAGAGAGCGTCAGAGGATGCTGATGGGAGGTGACAGCCTTCTCGTGTGTTTGCACCGGAGTGTAATGAGCCCCCAGCCTGAGATGCCCCAGACTCTCCCAGGCCACTCCCAGTGCCGAGCCTCGTCTCCCCATCCCATCGGGAGCCTTTCCTTCTCTCATGACTCTCGTTAAAACGTAAAAGTTTGTTAGCATTAGTACTAGCACTCACCACCCAGCAGCCGCATGATAATGAGAATGGAGTGTTCTTCAAAACAGGTGGTAACTGTGGCTTAGCACATAGTAGGGCAATGCATAAAAAGCACGGCCTGTGATATAATGAGATGTGTGCTTTGAACAAGTAACCCAGCATTTCCACATTCCACACAAGTGTCGTCTGCGTGGGACGCTATTCCTGCTCCGAGGACTGTGCACGGTTCTCGTAAATTTCCTCGTTGATACCAAACCATTCATTGAGGGGAGGTTTCCTTTTCCTTTTTGGGAAAACCAAATGTCTTTGGAGCACGCGAGTAAAGTGAGTCATCAGTCAGGTGTGGTCTGTGCATCTGATTCGTCAACTCTGACAGCTGCTCCAGAAGGTTCCACACCATCGGTCAGCAGCAGAGGCAGCACTGAGGGTAGTGTATACCCTCACAGAGACCATGGGCAGTGGCATTTTGAGATGCCATTCTTGTTGGGTTTTTTCAAAGTTGACAACTTCATTGTCACACCTGGTACAAAACAGCCCCTGCTTGCCAGGGACTACAGGGAAATTGGAGAGATGAAGAATGAATACGTAGAAAGGTGAGTCGTAATCAGGACCATGCTACTAGAGTCACCAACTCAGGGTGCAAATGAAGCATGCTTTGAATTGACATTATAAGAGGGAGTGGAGATTTGCCTACTTTGCATGATACCTTTAACATTCGATTTAATTGACCTTTACTGAAAGTGTCCAGTAAATAGTAAATACTCAATAAATGATAACTAGTATTATTTTTATTCTACACTTAAAACAGGGGTCTTGGAGTATAGAGTCTCATAGGGGTACAGTGCTTCCAAAACGCCTCTGATCGCCCTTTCTCAGCTGCTCCAGTTTGACTTCCTGTTTCCCCGAGTTTTCTTCTCCCTCTGCCCATTCCCTTTGGCCATTCTCATCCGTGTTACCCACACAAGGATCACTCATGATTTGTTTCTAGATCAGACTTCTTCCCATGTTCCTCAAATTTAGCCTGTCCAAAACGAAACTCATCATCTCTCACATTAAACTCAGTTTCCCTCCTCTTCCTTATCTTGGTGAACAGTATCACCGCCACATTGGTGAAACCTTTCTTCCCTTCATCCTGCTGATCTAGGCTGTCAGTGACTACTGGCAGTTCTCCCTCTTAAGTAACTCTCAAACTGGGCCCCCACCCCTCTCCCTCCTCCCCGGCTCTCATCATCCCTGCACCGAAGAATGCACGCGCCGCCTCAGTTCTAGTCTCCAGTCCTGCCTCCCTCACAGTCTGTCCTTCACTTGGCTTCCAGAGCTGTCTTCCTAAAATACACATGCGAGCGGATGATTCTCTTTCTTTTCGCCATCTCCCCCTTGCCCAAAGCAGCCCTCCCCAAAGCAGGAAAGTGGGATATTAATAGATGGTAGGCACAAAGCGATGCATGGTCAAACAAGTTTGAGAAACTCTGGGTTAGAGAAAGTTCGGCAGGTTTCTTTACCGGGGAAACCAGTTTGCTGAGGTGCCTTACGAATCTCTGACGGCGGGTAGAGAGTAAGCAATATTTTCCTAACTTATTTGGCCACCAAATTCTTTTTCTCTTCCTTTATTCTTAGAACATATTGTGACATTGCCATTTTGCAGAACATACTTCTGAAAACTCTGGCTCGTAAGATAAAATCCAGACTCCTCTGCAAGGCATCTAAATGCCTCATGACGTTGCCCCTGCCCTCCTTTCTCATCTCATCTGCCGTCATTCTCTACACACACCTCATCTTATCTCCTGCCACATGTGCTCCCTGTAGCTCCCAGGACATGCCAGACCCTTTCACATATGTGCACGTTCAGTACCCTTCGTCCTGGGATCCCTGCTAGTCCACCTGACAGAGTTTTACTCTTCCCTTTACACTGGCTGAATGCCATCTTCCTTCCCATCTTGTCCTCATTTTCCCAAGAGCCTCTTTGCTTATGAGCATGGGCTCTGGAGATGGCAGACCAGGGTTTGCCTCTCCTTACAGCATGGAGTCACCATCGTTATCCACATACCCATAGAATTCAGAACAATCTTATACTAGTACTGCAATTACTGCAGCATGATCATTTACATGTCTATCTTGCAATTAATAAAAATACTGACTGGCACACATGGGTCAGGTTGGCACTGCACAAAGCGAACGTTGCCCACGGTGGCCATCGCATCCTCCCCACAGCATCATAACACAGGCGCTGCTCTAAGACTCATTGTACACATGAGGAAACTGAGACCTAGAATGGGTAGGTTGCCCACAGCTACATGGGGCCAGATCTCAATCCTGCATATGCCAGGAGCTCCTCAAGGGCACAGGCTCCATCCTGTGACTCTGTCTCCAGGGTGCACTTCTGTGCCAGGAGCACAGTAGGAGCCCAGTCCTGACTGGGAGGGGATGATGAAAAAGCCTGCTTGGGATATGAAAATGCTTAACCTGGAATGGAAAGTGGAGAATCAAAAATGAGAAATGGAACTAACAGGAGCAGCAGGAATTGAAGTCGCAAATAAGTCCAAGGATAGAGGAGACGCGAGGAAAGGGCAACATCGGGCCCTCCTGATGAGAGATGAGCGTGGCTTCTCTTCCTCAGAAGGAAAGTGGCTGTGCATTTGGGACCCTGACTGACATCAGAAATGTGGTGGGACAGGGAGCCTTGTGTCGCCCTTTTCATCTGTATGCGTTGGCCCAAGCAGTAAGCAGGGATCCTAAAACTGGACATTACAAGGCAGAGAGAACCAAGCCCCTTTGTTATTTTGAGGACACACTGACCACATTTGGTAGAGAAGCTCTCAAATGACTGCTCCGCCCAGAATCTAATCCTAGCCAATTTGATTAGCCCCTTCTTTTTTTTCCGAGCACTTCACCAATGATAAAAATAAACCATGCAGACATTATTAGTGTTCTATTTTCAGTACTCTGTGTGTATACTTTATTTATATACAATCTAGGCATTAGTGCAATTAATATGTTGAATTGTCTGGCACATCCCAAATGAACTGTGGCATCTGGAAGGGGCCATCCGGGCCTGACGTGTGTTCTACAAGAGCACGTTCTTGCTGGAAACGTTGCTGTTCCCAGGACGCAGCCCTGCGTTTGCTGAGTTGGTGCCTCGGTGGCTGCAGGGGGATGTTTTGCTGCAGTCTGCTGGAGCGCAGCCGCAGAGGCCCTGGGTGTGGCTCAGGAAGCCTCCTATGGGCTTAACTCCTGCCTCTGCGGTTGTCTGTCTGTGTCCTCCAAGCCCAAAGCAACCAGCACATTCGAAAAAGTTTCATTATCCTTATTGCTACTGTAGTGGCCCAGCACCACCCCTAACTTGCAGACCTTGCAGGTTCTCTCCCCTCAGAATCCATCCCAGCAAGGCTGTCACTTTGCACTTGGCTAATAACAACCACCACCACGACCCTAGCAGCCTGTCTCTTTAACCATGATGCATATTTTTGTTACCAAGGACCAATAGCCTGATTCCTCTAATAAAATAAAAATGCTTTTCAGACTTACCAACCCCTTATTCATTGCAATCAGGGAGTAGCAAGAGCCATGACTCAGCATGTTAGAAGGCAGGATTTAAGATGAATACCTGGCCATTGTCCTGATTTTATACCAGTCAGACTTAACCGAAAAAATATGTGTCTCAGTTGAATTTATCTTATTAGGGGATTTAGGTTATGTTAATGCTATAGCTTCATTAATTACCCCATATCAATAAAAAAAAGGCAGCTTTTAGCCTCCGAGCATAAGAGAGGAAGAGAAATGGTGGTATCAAAGGAAACCTTCAAAGACAGCAAGAGCTGTCTCCAGGGTAATTTCTGATCCCCGCATTCTTCCCACTTCAAAGTTGGCTGTGTGTGTGCATATGGGTCGAGGGGGTGGGGAGCTGAATCTGATTTCTCTAATAAGTGTTGGCATCAGCCCTGTTTGATATCAGATGCAGGGAACATTTTGATTTGTTATAGCCTTTGAAATTGTTCAGACGACCTTCAGAAAAATGGCCTCTTGTTACTTCCAGGGGGAAGGGTGAAAGCCAGGGAAAGGGGAATCCAGTTTAATTCATATGCAGAGGGTGCCCTGAAATTGTGCTTTCAGCAGTTTTTGGTGACAAATGCATGTCCTGATTGAGAATGAACAGTTGAGGAGCAATAGACCTGTAACGCTGTGTTCTTGGGCGAGGCTCTTGTTCACTCTTTCATCCTCTGAGGGGGGTGGACAGATTTGAGAAGGTGACCACATAGAAGTTTATAGTTTTGAAAACGTGGGTAGCCATGGAGAAACCCATCGCCACTGCTGGTTTGCAGCATTCTACCCAAACTGATAGGCCTATCAAAGCCTATCACCTGTTGACCTTGCAAGATGAAGCTACTAAATAAAGGTTCTAAACGTTGAAACCTTATGTGGCTTCTGAGTTTTATTTAGATAATTTAAAATCAATTCCACTGTTTTTTGAAATGAAGTACGGAATTGATAACTTTCTGATAAGCTGCCAAAATGTTCGCTTGCTGTTAAATGAATTTTAGCGGCAGCGGTTGCCACAGCAGCAGGCCTCAAAGCAGAGCTGTGCTCCCAGAAGAGCCGCACGAGTGGCAGCTTAGAGAGCGCGCAGCCCCGGCATCCCGCCTGCTGTCTAGCTGGAAGGCAGTCTCTTCCTCCAGGGTAAGAGCTGGGCTTCTGCACACAGACCTGGTTTGGAATCCCCACCTCGCATTAACTGTGTGGTGTCGGACAAGTTACCTAACTTCCCTGAGCCTCAGTGCCCTCATCTGTGAATTGGAAATGATTTTATCAACCTCACGTTATTGCCAAAAGGATTTTAAAAGATAATGCAGGTAAAGTGCAGGCCGAATACATCATCGTCGTCATCATAAGTAAATGGCATCTGCCCTTGCTGGTTATGATAGAGGTGGTGGTGGTGGTGGTGGTCCGCATTGCTGATAGAATCACCTACCTGCTGATGTTGGGTCATTCTGATTGTTCTTTTCAGTGAATAATTTTGATTTGTCACCATTTTCACCAGTTCTTCCTGTGTATCGAGAGGTCTTTTGATATCCTGGTGTTTGCCCTGAGAACCGATGTGTCTGTGCTAAAGCAGCGGGTCATCTGCAGGGTTTCTTTTCATTTCACCTGAGAAAGACCACACCCCCACCCTTAAAATACTTACTCCAATCCCCAGAGGCCAGGAGGCTGCTCTGGAGACTGCAGGCTCAGCCACCAATCACCCACAAGGTTGACTTTTGTGTTCAGATCTTTCTAACGCTTGCTCAGAATACTGAAGGGTGCTTCACTTTCTTTTTCCTGTCACTATAGTTAAGAATAATTTCTCGTTCATCAGGCTGAAGGTTTGCAGCTTCCAGAATGCTCCTTTTTTGAATATTGCAGCCAGCAAAGAATTGGTAGCCACGTCTGCCTCTGCAGCAAATAAGCTGAAGCTAATAAATATTCACTTGGATCAGTCCTGGCTCCCTGAAATAAATTTCTGAAATCTTCCTGGCCCTGAGAGAGGCAGAACATCGACTTCAAAATGCTCATTTCAGTGGCTTTCTTTGGCACAAATCTAGCAGAAAATCAAGTATGAGCCACCTGCTGTGCACACCTAGCAAAAGAGGGCCCTATTGTTAAGGCTTCCCTTTCTCACCCATGAGCGCCAGGTAAACAGACTGTATTGTCTGAGGTCCTTCTGTCCCAGATGGTAGGAGCTTTTCCCTAGGGTCCTGAATAATATATTTAAACCTTTCAAAAAGAGCATCGTCCTCACTTTGAATAAATGTGGTGTGTTTTGAGAATCCATAATTAGGCTGGAGTGGCCATGTTTTCATTAAACCTCTGCGCATTTTTCTCTAGATTTTTAAAAATTAAAACATGTTGCAGATACCAAAGGATTTTTAAATATGTTTATCTTTTAAATAAAAACTATAACTTTTTAATCTAGCAGAGTCTTCTTCTCTGTTTTTCTCAGCTCTGTGTTTATGTCTTGGTCTGCTTATGTATGATGTAAGCAGGCAGGAAGGGTAAACAGTGAGAACTTCAGAAGAAACAGCTGTGGGCTCAGAATGGAAGGAGAACTATATTAGTTCCAAGTTCAGACATCGATGTTCCTCTTCCTAAAATTGAGACTTAGAAGCTTTGGCTTCTCCCTGTCATCTTGGCAGTGATTTTCGTACAACTAAAAGATGCAAAAGTCATTCTTATTCATCCTGCAACCCCTGAATAATCTTTAAATGGTGCATTTGTTAAGCCCTGGGCTAAACTGCGCTGAGAAAGTAGCATGAACCTGATTTATCCTCCAAACATGACCAGCTGCCCAACAGTAGTTTTCTTCAACAGAATTGGTAACGTGGGGAATTAATTTCATATGTTTCTTTTGAGGTTTCCTTCAGAGTTATCTGGAGGTAACATGTCACTTTTCCCCTTGCGAATTGTTGAGCTGTCAAACTAGAATTCCAACACTGAAAGATCTTTAAAATTCTTACTCTATCCAGTGATTTAAGTGAGGGGCACTGACAGGCAATTGACACCACCTTTCTGAAGGGCAGTTTAGCCAGAGTGGGAGGAAGGTGAGCTGTTGAGGGCTTTTGTGGCAATCCAAGAAGGAGATGGTGCAGGCAGTGGGTGTAGAGAGAAGTGGGTGAACATGAGGTTCATTTTTTTGATTGAATGAATGAATGCTTGATCAGTGAAAGCACCTCCATTATTTGTCCTGGAGTTGGATGAACTAAACCTCTCCCCTCTCCAGCAGGAGTCCTACAGAAGTACAGAGTGGCCTCCTCAGAATCATCTTAACCTTCTCTACTATCCTAAAAGTTTTCAAACACAGTGAAATTTTCATGAAACTGATTGTGAACAGGGAAAAGCCAGGAGAACTAAATGAATATGGGTGTTTACAGCCCTGCTTTTCATTTCCAAGCACTGTTTTCAGAAAGCCAGGTTTCAGTGTCTTCCACAGAATAGACACGGAGCTCTGGAGTGTCCTGGGTCAAATGCAACACATCATGGCCTGTCTTCTTAAAGGATATTTGCCATTCGACTGCTTCTCAGTGCTTTCTGATGCTCCAAAATCAATCACACAACACATACAGCCCTAAATCGCCATGGCCCAGGGTCCTACTTAACCGTTGGCCAGCCCCAAAGGCAGGTTCCCAGAGGCCCTTTGACCAGGTGCTCCATTCACTCAGCTCTTGAACCCATATATTAAAGTCAACTTTTTAGCATCTACGGAACACCAGCGTTCTCATTTGCTCATTGCCCTTGAGCTGTCTCTCTCAGCACTGTATTGGGGGTAGTTCTATTTTTGCCATGCTTAATTTGTTCTAAACTCTTGAAACAGTCAGAAGGCATTGATTTGGTATATCATGCAAACCAGTAAAAACCAAAATGGTTTTGGTTAGAATGAGCTACTGAAGTACCCTGTGTGTGACCAAGTGTAGCCAGAGGAGGACTGGCCTGGGTTTACTCTGAGTCCTCCCCACATTCTCAGACCTCCTCCGGCTTCCTCATTTGTCAACTAGGGGTGCCCTAGAGCAGGGGCTCTTGACCAGCCAGGCATCACATTTACGCTTGGGAGCAGGGGCTACGAAACAATGGAACAGGCTCTTGGGCCCACTCCAGCCACTGATTCAGACATTCTAGGGAGGGACTGAGCAATCTGTATATTAAAAAACAAAAGCTTCCCCAGGGGCTTCTGATGCCCAGCCAGGATTTGAGCACCACCAGCCGAGGCCATTTGTAAGATGTCTCACCAGATAGCCTTGGGCTGAGGAACAGCTCTGAGCTGTTGTCTCCCCATCTGGAGAGTGTGATTGTTCCTGCGACCAGCCACAAGAGCCAGTCCTGGGGATTACACAAGTGTGTGAGTGAAGGGCCTAGTGTGGTGCGTGGCATGGAACAGGTGCTCAGCAGCTGGATGGTGCCAGCTTTCCTCCACTCAGAAAACACCTACTGATGCCTGTGAAATGCTAGGCCCCCTTTCTGGACCTGGGGACGCAGTAGGAAGGAAGTCAGGCCTCCTGTGGTCACTGAACTTCCATCCTGCGGGCAAGTCAGGCAGGAAACAAGCAAACAAAGAAATCATGGAGCTTCGGGCAGTTTTAAATGTTACGAAAACTTTAAATTTTGAAATGGTAAAGAGGGACTGGTGTAGTGGCTCATGTCTGTAATCCCAGTACTTTGGAATTCAGAGGAGGGCAGATCACCTAAAGTCAGGAGTTTGAGACTAGCCTGGCCAACATAGTGAAACCCCATTCCGCTAAAAATGCAAAAATTAACCAGGTGCGGTGGCAGGCACCTGGAGTCCCAGCTACTCTGGAGACTGAGGCAGGAGAATCTTTTGAACCCAGGAGGTGCAGGTTGCAGTGAGCCAAGATCGCACCACTGTACTCCAGCCTGGGTGACAGAGCCAGACTCCACCTCAAAAAAAAAAAAAAAAAAGTGAAGAGAATCAAGTTACCAGGTACTGGAGAGACTGTTTTGAAAAGGTAACTGTGAAATGCTTCTCCAGTGAGGCGACGTTTGAGCTAAAGGGAGCATACGAAGAGCCATCTAAGGGTTTATGGGAAAAACAAGTCAGGGAAAGGGCACAGCAAGTGCAAAGGACCTGAGGCAGCATTGACCTTGGCATTGAGAAATGCAAGAGCCGTGGTGAGAAGGGTTAACAGTAGTTACAATATTATTTCTTGAAGTCTCGAATTTTAAGACTGATGCTAATGATTTTTCTCTCCTTTCCCCCTCAGCTTGACATATGGTCCAAATCCAACTATCAAGTATTCCAGAAGGTAAGTTTTACTTTTTGCTTCTTACTCAAGAAGCATTAGGAAAACTTGAATGCTTTGAGATTTAAACATTGGTCTCAAATCAGAGGCTTTTAAAAAAGTGAAAAAAAGCCAGACAGAAAAGAATGCTCACTATCTGATTCTATGTATATGACATTCTGGAAGAAAACAAAACCTTAGGAACAGAAATCAGATCAGTGGTTGCCTAGGGGTGGATACAGGGGATTGACCCCGAAGGGGCACAAGGGAACATGGGGTGGTGGGAGTATTCTGTGTCTTAATTGTGGTGGTGTTACACAACTGTACATGTTTGTCAAAACTCAGAACTGTATTACTACCAAGGGGCAGTTTTACTGTATATAAATTATACCTTAAGAAAAGCATAGGTTTTTGAGATGTTCCAGAAGCTGGATTCTGAGAAACCTAGCTTTAAAACTCGGTTTCGGAGAGCTCAAGCGGCCTCCACCGGTACCCTAGGGATGGGCCAAGGCGGCAGGCTGGCACTTTCTCACCCTGCCCCTTTCCCACTTTATGCTCTGGGGACACTACCTTTTTCAGATACTGGGCTTCCTTATGAAAAACTGTTGTGGGAAATGTCAGACAAAATGAAAAGCGACCAGAGGAAATTCATTTCCCCAGCTTCTGACAGTGCAGGGGCCTTCCCTGGACCAACTCAGGCCCTGTGGCCAATGAGAATTCTGCCTTCCACCCTCCACCCCACCCCACCAGTCCCCACAGCACTCAGGGCCAGCTCCCTGCAGGGCAGCAGCCGGCTGCTTCTCTTCCCATCCGTCTTCGGTCTCTGGTCTCGTCCAGTGGTGAAATAAGAGAAAGTTGATCATCATCTCATTAATTCCCTCATCCAGCTCAACAGCAGGTATCCACTCTCCAGCACTTTGAGAGGCCAAGGCAGGCAGATCACCTGAGGTCAGGAGTTCAAGACCAGCCTGGCCAACATGGCAAAACCCTGTCTGTACTAAAAATCTAAAATTAGCTGGGCATGGTGGTGGGCGCCTATAATCCCAGCTACTTGGGAGGCTGAGGCAGGAGAATTGCTTGAACCCAAGAGGCAGAGGTTGCAGTGAGCAGAGATTGCACCATTGCACTCCAGCCTGGGTAACAGAGCAAGACTCTGTTTCAAAACAAACAAAAAACAGGTATCCACTGAGCCCCTTTGTCATATGCCAGGCACTGTGCTAGGTGCCAGGGCCACAGAGGGAACTCGGACGGGCAAGGAAGCCTAACTCCAGGTGGTCAACCGGGGGCTGTGGCCTGGAACAGCAGGGGGTCTGCTTCCGCTTAGGCTAGTCAGAAGAAGCCTTTATAGGGGAAACTGAGGCAGGCAGCGTGAGAAGGAGAGCCAGCCATGTGAAGGGGGGCAAAGTGGAGGTAGAAGGCAGGGCTCAGGTCAAGGAGGTGCCTCTAGGCTCTGGTGCAGAATTCAGATTTTATCCTTAATTCAGTGAGAAACGGCTGACGGCATTGACACAGTGGGGATGTGATTTTGAAAGCTTGGTCAAAGTTATCCCCACAATGAAGAATGCCTGTAGCCACAGTGTGCCAGCAGAAGCACAGGACTTTTTGTAGATTGAGGTGAAATTCGCATAACATGAAATTAACCGTTTTAAAGTGAACAATTCCTTGGCTTTAAGTGCCTTCGTAGTAGTGTATAATCACTACCTCTGTTTGGTTCTAAAACATTTCACCTCAGAAGAAAATCTAGTGTGCATTAGGCAGTGAGCATAGGACTTAGTGTGTCAGAGGGGCATCATGGACCACCCTCTAGTGGTGTTTACTGTATGTCAATTCACAGTGCCCCCGGGCCCATTTTTTGATGATAAGGGGTAGGCAGAGGACAGGTGCCTAGGATTAGGGGAGCCTAGTCTGAGGCTGCAAACTACCCATTTAGGGAACCTATATAAGCATTACAGATTCATGATCTTATCACAGCTAAATGCAGTGTACTACCCTGGATTGGATCCTGAAACAGAAAGAGGTTACTAATGGGGCAGGGCGCAGTGGCTCATGCCTATAATCCCAGCACTTTGGGAGGCCAGGGTGGGTGGATCACAAGGTCAGGAGTTCAAGACCAGCCTGGCCAACATGGTGAAATGTCGTCTCTACTAAAAGTACAAAAATTAGCCAGGCGTCATGGTGGGTGCCTGTAATCCTAGCTACTCAGGAGGCAGAGGTTATAGGGAGCTGAGATTGCGCCACATTGCACCCCAGCCTGGGTGACAGAGCAAGACTATGTCTAAAGAAAGAAAGAAAGAGGTTACTAATGGAAAAACTGGTGAAATCCAAATAAAAGTTGGAGTTCGGTTGTTAGCGAGTAACCAGGGTTGGTGTCTTCGTTGTGACAGATGTACCATAGTAATGGAAGGTGTGAACAGTGGGGAAACAGGGTGAGGGACATGGGAACTGTCCCATGTGTGCAGCTTTTCTGTAAATCTAAAACTGCTCTAAAATACAGTTTATTTAATGAAGAAAATCATAGCTTGACTCTTCTAACACCCCTTTACCCAACTGAGCTCCCTAGAAATGTAATGGAGAAAACAGCCTCCCTCGCTTCTCCTCTCCTTGCCACCCCATTTTTCTCCCCACTTCCTGGGTCTGGAGCGTAAAGGAGAGAAGGAGGTGCTTGTGTAGGCTTTAGTGCAGGGAGCTGCACTTCTCATCTTAGTGTGCTTAGCTAAGTCACCACACTGGAGGTGTTTACTTGCTTCGCATGCAGAAAGTCTCGGCCTTTGATGCAGACATCTTCCATGCTGACTGTCCTTGTCGTTTTTCCCCAGCAGCTGGTTGAAAAACATTCTGGGTGAAAGAACACCACTCATAATCTGTATCTTGCAGTTGGTTTTTCCCTCAACGTGGTCCTTATCTTCACGTCTTCTGTGGTATTGCCAGGAGCTCCCTTCTCCTGGCTCCACAAAAGGCCAGTGATGACTTCTGGAGGGCCCATAACCCACTACTTAACAATGGTCCCATTTCCATTCCAATACCCTTTACGAGGGAGGGGCTTGCACATGCTCACTTTTGCGTGTCCTTTTTTTTTTTTTTTTAAACGTTCTTGTAGTATTAAGTATTTTTGAATGCAAGCAGAAAGTTTATTAGGAAGTTATAAAATGTGTGAAACACAGATTTGGTGAAGCATAGATTTAGAAAGACAGTGCTGTATTTTTATCCTACGTCCCTTGAAAATAACCTGCCAGGCACTCTTTGTATTTGTTTAAAATTACAAACACATTCTGAAGCAGTGTTTAAAATTTGATATTAGTCTAGTTGGAGAGATTTAAGAGCACCCGCCAATTCCTTGCTTCTAGTTTATATAACACATTTCAAGCAGTAAAAATTGATGAATTCTAAGGGGTGGGAATTTTATCTCACTGGTGAGTGGCGTATCATGTGTATTTGTGCAGAAGCCTTTCTGAGATTCCTTTATCATCTCTCCTTTCACCTGTTTTTAACTATATCAGAGGTTAAGTGAACTTAACCTCTGATATTGACCTGCACCAGATTAAAGAACCACAATTGGGAGAGGTGGTAGTGCCCTCTGATTACAGCTAATGGCAGATAATGTTGAAGTCCTTTTCTTACAGGGACAGGTGAGAATTAAATTAGAGAGTCCTCTCTCTTCCCTATTAAAAAGTCTTCCACTTGCTGTCAAATGAAGGAAACATATTGGAAAATAATGTACAGAATTAAGCTTAATCCTTTATCAATAAAGCTTTCCACTAATCATCATCATGCAGAATGAGTTTGGGATCTTGTTTCTGTATCACTGAGCTTGTGGAAGGTGGCGATAGAAAGCACGAAGCACACGTGGTGTCACTTCCATCCAGGGCAGGGCCCACCGTGCCTAGTTCATCATGTTCATCTCGGTGGCCAGCAGGTAGACCTTCCCGTGGCACCGCCAGGCCCTGCCCTACATGCAGAGGTGGAACCACGTCCTTTGCAGATTCAGAGGCCTGGCATAGTTTGTGGGGTGACATTAAGTATTTCAAACCTAAACCACCAAAAGAGAAGGATTCGGTGGCCACATTTCTAAACTCCACTTTTTAGGATTTGTTGTTTCTCAAGATTCAATCTTCCTCCTCTCCACCCACTTATATATAAGGGGCGTCATGATTGATGTTGCTTGTAGTGTTTCCCAGAAAGACGCTGTTCGGGAGCATTGCAGCAGACAGCTCCCACCCTGCTCTGCCTGCTTGCACCCAGTCAAGTCGATCGGCCAGAGTGGGGTTAGTTCCCAGCATCATCCAGAAAAGCTCAGCCTGCAGCATTGGCGTGAAGTGCATTGGGGAGCAGCATGATGTGCCGGAGGAGGCTCCTTGGTCATCAAGATGAGGAGCTTGCTCAGGCTGAAGATAGTGGCCAGGTGTCCTGACAGTAGTGGGAGGTGCCCCAGCTATGCCCACCTCTGAGATGAGAGTTCTGGGCCACCCCCAGCAGCTCACATGGCATTAGTGGAGGAATTCTCCTCCTGCTCTCGCTGAGGCTGAACCCCAAGAACTCCCTCTCTTAGGCGTTCATTATGTGGTCACAGTCACTGTGCTGGATCTGTTTTCCTGCCCAGAAGAAGCAGCTGCGGCCAGCCCAGAACGAGGGCCTGCTGGGAAGGGAGGAAGCCCTCCGAGGTCTCTCCTTCAATGTGGCAGGGGACAGGGATTGCCTTGCAGAGCCAAACCAAGCTGATACTCACCTTTTTATTTCTGGTAAACAATGTTAGGAGCTAGGAGAATGGAAGCATGACCCTGTCACATTCTCTCAGGCTGGTGCCTCACCACCTGGCTTACAGCCTGAGCACCTGAGCTTCTGCAGCAAATCCCACCACAGGAAGCAAAATTCTGCCTTCCTTTTGTCTGCAGGCGTTCACTCCATCAGCAAGCCCTTTTCACTCTTCCTCATTAGACCCCTTACCCAAGTGTGGAAGTGGCGGAGGGCTGGGGACAGCTTGCTGTGGGCCTGTGGCAGCTAACAGGTTCCCATCATTTACTGTGGTCCCTGGAGGCTCCTTGCACTTGGTCCTAGGGCGAAGAAGCTTTTTATAGCCAGCAAGTCTCCAGCAGAGTAGATTCAGAGAATGGGACTTAGAAATGGGATGGGGGGTGACCATCTGAAAGGGCAGAATCACAAAGAGCCAGGAAAGGTTTCAAGCGTGTTCATATTTTTCTGACATTTAAACTCTGCAGGGGCAGCCACTGTTTTGATCCTTAACCCCCTCATTTCAAAACAGTATGCATTTTCATCCAGCAATTTAGGGAGCATGAGAGCAGACCGACAGCTACTCACCGCATTAAGTCCTGCTGGGGCGGCTGAAGAGAGAGGTGGAGTGTGTGTCCTGCCCAGGTAGCAGGGGGGCGTCGAGAGAGGGGCCCGGAGGGACCCGCACACGCTTTGCAGTTTTCCCATCAGAGGTAAGGGACAGAGCATGAAAGCAGCCCACGGATATCCAGCTCTCAGTCCACAGTCACTGCAGAGGGACGAGTAACCCTTTCAGTTCCATGCCATCTGAACTTTTAGGTGTGAACAAATGGATTGTCCATGGTGGGTCATGTTCTGGTCATGTTCTGTTCATGTCGCTTGCGTCTTCTTTCCTTTGTTCATTTATTCGTTGATTATTTATTTATCTATTTAATTATTTTGAGACAGAGTCTCACTCTGTTGCCCAGGCCGGAGTGCGGTGATGCGTTCTCAGTCACTGCAACCTCCGCTTCCCAGGTTCAAGTGATTCTCCTGCCCCAGCCTCCCAAGTAGCTGGGATTAAAGGCATGTGCTACCATGCCCAGCTAATTTTTGTATTTTTGTAGAAATGGGGTTTCACCATGTTGGCCAGGCTGGTCTTGAATTCCTGACCTCAGAAAATCTGGCCACCTGGGCCTCCCAAACTGCTGGGATTACAGGCATGAGCCACCGCGCCCGGCCTCTTCATTCTTTTTAATATGCAAGACTGGCCCCTAGCTGAGGCCAACTTTGTCAAGGTCTGTTTACTCCGTGCCCACCAGGTGCTTTTCAGTAAAAGAGATTGAGTCAACCCTAGGATACTCAGTTCTCTGAAAAGTGGGTGGACATCTGATATTGCATTGGTGGGCACGTGGAGTCCCTAGCATAGATTGACTACCAGCCCCAATAGTGTTCAAAACTCCTAACCTATCACTCATTCCAACTCCTAGGGAAGGAAACTGTTTCACCATGGGGTCATTCCACAGGGACGGGAACCGTCACCCTCCTCTGAGTCAGGCTGCGCTGTCACCTCATTTGGGCGTGTGGCGCTGCTGCCGCATTTCACACCACTACAGAGGCCCCATAAACAGTCATTACGTTATTTTATTTATTTATTTGAAACGGGGTCTCACTCTTTTGCCTAGGCTGGAGTGCAGTGGTGTGGTCTCGCCTCACTGTTCAAGCTGTTCTCCTGCCTCAGCCTCTCAAGTAGGTGAGATTACAGGTTTGTGCCACCACGCCCAACTAATTTTTTTTTTTTTTTTTTTTTTGTATTTTTAGTAGAGGCAGGGTTTTGCCATGTTGGCCATGCTGGTCTTGAACTCCTGACCTCAAATGATCCACCCACCTTGGCCTCCCAAAGTGCTGGGTTACAGGCGTGAGCCACTGCGCCCGGCCACGTTATTTTCAATCTCTAACATTTCCTCCTACCAGCCTCCTCTTCATTTCCTTCCAAAAGCCTTTCTTCAAATGCCACAGGCGAAGGCCTGGAAGAGGCTGTGGTTGTAGCTCAAGTTCTAAGACCTCAGGCCAAATCTCAGTCCTGTCCTCTGTTCGGTGCCCTGCACAGTGAGGCCCCCACACCGAGGGACTCTGCAGCTGGGAGCAGCCTCCAAGAGTCATTGAAGGGCCTTCTGCCTTTTGCAGGTCTCGGCCTTCTGACCATCCTCCTGCTTCTTAAAAAGTGATCAACCTTTTCCAACAGGGAGAACTTATGTTATAAAGACAGAATGTGGCGTCATTTTCATCTCTCTCTGTACATTCTGCTGCTGCCTCACAAGTGTATCCCAAACAGAACTGAGGGGACAGCTTTCATTCGTGCTAGGGGAAATGGGCAGCTTCGTGTAGCAAGACAAAGTCCTGTCGTGACTCTGATGAGTGGTGTGCCCGAGAGATGTGTGCGTGAGCTCACTGGTGGGCTGGCGACGGGCTTCAGGGAAGGAGGGGCGGCAGACAGTCCCAGGGGGACCCTGAGGACAGCCTCTCCCTCAGCTGACAGCTGGACTGTATTGACCAGTTCGCCAAGCAGAAGCATCAGCGCGGGGCCCTGGGAGATGAGAGCCGCAGGGAGGGTCGTTAGGCTCAACCCGACCACCAAAAAGCCTTTTACTGCCATCTTGTTTGAATATTCATAAGCATCTAAACCCAGGACAGATTTGATCATTTGTTCTCCCCTTATGCTGCCCCAGCATCTTTCCTGCACAAGGCTCCCTCAGCCCCTGCTGAGTGTGGACATGGCCCAGGTGCTCACATGGACCCAGTTTTATGGCTAAAATTGAACCAGGAAAGCCTGGCCCATCCTTTTGACTTTCTTAGGGCATCCTGCATTGCCCTGGAAGTGGTCTGTGGCTTTCTGCCATTAGAGGAGTTACAGAGTCGTCATCTGTCATCTCTACAGCTTATTTCTTCCTGAAGGGTTGTGCGGGCCGCAGTGTACTCGGGTCAGAATCTGATAACTGCTTCTGGGAAGACCACCCACCTTTGCACTCACCAGGCCTCTATCCTCAGCCCAGCAGGCTGTAAGCTGCACGCACAGGCTGCCAGCATGCAAGACGGCCCCCGCCCATCTGCTCTCTAAGCCCAGGCTGACCTCCCAGCACATTCCCCACAGCAGCCAACCCAGACAGAGGCCACATAGCACAGTGGCTAAGAGCCATTCGCTGTGTCCTCGGGTCTCGGCTACCCCACTTATTTCCTGTATGGATTCGCTTGCCTCAGTTTTCCTCATCTGTAAAACAGACACAGCCGGGTGCGTGGGTTACACCTGTAATCCCAGCACTCTGGGAGGCCGAGGCAGGCAGATCACTTGATCCTAGGAGTTTGAGACCAGCCTGGGGAACATGGCAAAATCCCATCTCCCCAAAAAATAAAAAATATTTAAAAATTAGCTGGGTGTAGTGGCACGTGCCTGTGGGCCCAGCTACTCAGGAGGCTGAGGTGGGAGGATGGTTTGGGCGTGGGAGGTTAAGCCTGCAGTGAACCATGAGCCGTGACAGTACCTGCCCCACAGACTTGGTGTGAGGTTGAATTCATAGGTATGAAGTGTAAGGTGAATTTCTAGTCCACACCTAGTCAACTTTTCTGGAGTGCCTGTCAATGGCAACACTCTTCTCCTGAGAAAGTTCTCCCTCCATCCCCTGTGGCCAGGCTTCCTCCGGCATGCCTCTTCCTCAGTGATCACCCCTTCTGTCTGTACTTCCCATATGTCCACAGTAGATGTGGTGGCTCAAGGTACAGGAGTCAGACAGACCTGGGTTTGCATATAGCTGTCATGTGTAAAGTCAACCCAAGACCCAGTTGCCATGACAGACCCACCCACCCCCACCAAAGCATTGTCTGCCTTCCCATTTTTTCAGGGTCACAAAAAGTGAGCTGCAGAGCCTAAGGTACCACAGCTACAGCCATGCAGCAGCACCCTGTGGGTGGCCCCGAAGTGCTAATATAGGTAGCATCCTGAGTCTAGGAGCTGGATCGGTCCCCAGGGTCCTGGGAGGGCCAGTGGCACAACCAGTGATCTCCGGAAGGCACCGGATTGAGGTGTTGTGCCCCACCTTCCTGTTTCCCCCACTGAGCAGGGGTGGCTGGGGCACCCGGTGCCTTGGCAGCTGAGCTGCCTCTTGGCGGGTCTCCCTCCCAGCTCTACAGTCTGCATTCTTCTCCGGTCATTGCCTCAAGTTTGATGGAGAAGTAGGTGGTATTGTCTGTGTTTTCCTGGGAGCCCAGATGTCTTTGGATGTTTCTCTGACTGCAAGGCTGTTCCTGCAGAAAATAATATCACACCAAGTGGGTGCAGAACAATTCAGGTGCCTTTGGGCTTGGACTTTCCTGGCAACCAGTGACAGAAACTGACGTTTTACCATCTGGAAAGCACTGAATTTTTTTTTCTTTTCGTTAAATGAAAAGCCTTAATTCCTTAATCCTGAGAAATGTCAAAGACCCTGTGCGTCTCCTCACAGCCTTGAGGCCTTTGGCAGAAGCGGAATGCGGTCAGGACCCTGGACAGTTCCCCGCATCTACCCTGGGGCTTCCCTGTTGGCCCGGGCCCCACTCCCGGGCAGTGCCCACCTCTCCTTCTCCACTCCTTCCCTTCCCGCTCACTCTGCTCCCCTTTCCCCAGTGGCCGAAAATCAATAAGTACACCCCTGTCCACTTTATCTCTCGTTCATTCAGACTCCTGCTAGGTGAGCCGCACCAGTGCTGTGCCACGGTCCTCTTGGAGGCCCAGGGAGGATGGAGATGTGACAAGTGTGGCCTCAAGGAGAGCACAGCTTAGGGGTTGGGGGCATCTGGTCACAGGTCTGGCTAGTGCGCAGCTGGGGTGTGAGAGGATGCTGCTGAGAGTACAGGCAAGGGACCTTTCCCCAGCCAGGGGGTGGGCTGGGATGGGGAAGACCTGAGCTGAGAATCCTGGGGGGTGAGAAGGGCTTAGCCTGACAGGAGCATTCCAGGCAGAGGGGCCACTTGAGTGCAGACGTGCAGCCAGGAAAATGTGTTGGGGCGGGAGGTGGATTCCTCCAGGAGCCAGAATTGCTGCCACATAAGGGGGGGTGCTAAAGGGGAATGTGGCTGAGACCCAGGTCCAAAAGGACCTCATGTGCCCCACCAGGGTGTTCAGAAGGATCCCGTAGGTGGCTGTGGAGTGGCCAGCGGGGGCGTATCACCCCTAAAGGCCGTCTGCAGCCAGCCTACACTCAAGGGTCCAGGGACTTGGGGGCTTTCCTTTTAGGCGTCAGTGGCACCCTGACTGGGACTTTAAAGAGGATGAGTTTGGAACCCCCAAACCAAACCACACCTCATTTATAGAGGCCCTGGTGTGTGCCAGAGATCTTTTGAAGTACATCCACGGGCTCGTCCCTCTCAGACGAAGCTTGATCTCAAAAGTATCAGCAGGGATTTTGGGCAAGATGGAGCAGCGATGTCTGCCTTCACCTCTCCAGTTCCAGCTCAGGCAGCCTTGCCTCTGGTCTCATCCCAGAGCAGCAGGCCTGGCTCTGGTGAGCAGTTATAAGCCCTTCAGAGCCAATGCAAATGGCTCCTTCATCAAGCAGAGAGGAAATATTGATCCCATCCAAGTAATCCCGAGTCCCTGTAGGCTTCGATGCCTCCTATCCAGGCTGCTAGGCCCGCTGAACCTGTGGCATACAAATCTGAGGTACAGATTAGAGACGAGAGCTGCATAATAAAAAATAAATCCCCTGCTTCCACTCTACTGTACTTTCATCGCCATTTGAGAAGCTCGTCTCTGCGCACTCCCCATCGCCCCCAACATCACTGTCAGGGCTGACTTCATAGCATTCCAGTTTTAAAATAATGATGGCCCCCCTTTTCATGGAATGAGTACTTCTGGGACTGTTTTAAATATTCTTCATCAAACTAGCACACATCCTCAGAGCAACACTGCTGGCGGGGATGGCTGCCTCTTTAAACATTTAACACACTCGGTTCATGTCTTTGCCTGCAGGATCCACAAAGACTTCTCTCCTTCCAAGAGATTCTACTGTCCCTCTCCTTACGGGTGGCTCTGTCCTTGACGAAACTCTTAATGGAGACCCAAACTCTTGGGCTAATCTCCTTGTGTAACATTAAAATACACCTACCCAATGAAAGTCCATTCTGACCTCGGCATCATGGGAACCACCTGCACGTAGCACACCTTTGGCTTTGCTGCCTGCTACTGAGTGCTCCAGAGTCTGGCTGAGTGGCATGGAGGTTTCCCACACAGAGAACAGTGCCGTGCAGATGGTCTCCTTGGTTCCCAGCTGAATTCTCAAGCTCTTTCAGCCGGCCCAGAATCTGAGGCCCAGCTGAGGGTGCATCCCATCAGGGCAGCAGGTGGGTTCCTGGATTGGGGCAAAAACTTCAGGGCACAGCATTGCAAACACTGCCAGGAGGTGACAGGGGCCTGCAAAGTCACCCAGCCCCACCCCAGCCTCACGCTTCTCTACCGAGGGCCAGCAGGAAAGATGTCCCCCAGGCCATTCATCACTAACCCAAGATCAAACCCCAGTCTTCTGACGGTTCGCCTCTGTCTGTCTTCTTGTCACTTTCGCCCAGGGCTAAGGGAATCTTCTCTTCATAGTATGTAGAAGCCGGGATTGGCTGGAGGGAAGCCACAGTCTGGATCCCTACCAGGCTTCTCTTTTAAATAAGCAACTTCTAAACACTTGAGTACTTAACTTTTCCTATTTACTAATCTTCTGGGGAAATACTTTGAACAGGGGTAGGCACCCAGTCTTCTAGCTTGGCCTTGTGGGCTGTGTGCTGGCAGATGATGCCCTCAGTGGGTGCATTAGAAGAGCATCCCTTGTTCAAGCTCAGCGCTCCTGGGTGCTACTCACCCACAGTCCTGCCCCCTGGTGGTGGGAAGCAAACAGTGGCCCAAAGCAGCCCCTGCACCTGCACCCAGAATCATCTCAGGGAGCCTGTGAACCCCTGGGTCCTGGTCCCCAGCCTGGTTCGCCATCGAGGAGCTGGAAGGCGATTCCCAGCAGTCGGCCTCCAGAGTCTGTTTCTTACCCGCATACAGCACCACCAGCCTCCACTCTGGCCCGGAAGCATGCCCCCGGGGGCAGGATGATGATCAGGGCCTTTGGGCACTCGGGAGCCCCTGAAGACAATCCCTGGGTCACCGAGAAACACAAGGGCCCCTGTTTCAGAACCCCTAGCAGGAACTGTAAGTTTCCATTTAAATCAAATCAAATACCCCAAGTTGAAAGTATTCAGAAAATTCTGAGAAAAAAAAAGATAGGAACGAAGTGCAAGTTTGGGCTGGGCGTGGTGGCTCCAGGTGGCTCACACCTGTAATCCCAGCACTGTGGGAGGTGGGAGGGTTG